GTTTTTCTACAATCGATACCTATCCAAAGTAGACATTTGCGCTCGTATTTGACAACGCAAACGTCATCTTTTTCGAGGAATATCACTTTGTCGCTTATAATAAAAACGCTCGCTCTTCCAATGATTAACTATAAATCAAATATGTATGGCTCAGAGTATCCAATGACAACAAGTAAATGACATCTTTCATTTGGGCATAAGATTAATATAATCTATGATTTGAGTGAAAAATTTAAATTTTTGGAAATATGTGAACTGCTCGATTGTAGAAAAAATCTTGTGTGTAATTCGAGCGCAAATTGATTGTCGATTTCAAGAGATTGCCTCTTTCAATCGGCAATATATCATTTTGCGCTCTTAATACACAAATAGCTATAGTATTACCATTGAATTTATAACTACAATGGTATTACCTACTATCAGAATCAGAAAGCCAACTTTATGTGTTGTGTATCTGAGGCAGTTTCACAACTGAAACTTGACTGATTGAATTTCCGAAGACGTTAACTGAGTTTTTAAGGTACCGTGTTTCATACATTTCTGAGAGTATGTCCGTGGAATGTAGAGGATATTCCGAGGGATATTCCTTAGATTTTGACGAGTGACGACGTTTAGTATACAAAATTAAATTCTCCCGAGAATTCCCCCTTCCCTATATCTGAAAAACTACATTTTTTTAACTATAAGTATTTTTGTGGTATTCAAAAATACCAACTTAGGTAGGTACATTAAATTTGTGGTCAGTGGCGTACTTCTGAATGATCAAGAGGGGTGTATTTTTTAATGGCAACTACTAGTTTTCATATTTAGATAATCCTCAATTTACTACTAGTGATTTTTTTAAAGTAAGTAAATTTGCAGTAATTATTTCTTCACTCAACGCGCTTCAACGTCGAATGCGTTTACCTTAATTTAGGAAGTTTCCATTAAATTGCATTGGAATACTATGTATAGTACGAGGTTGTAGTTGGACATTTTGCAGTTGCACCGTTCCCGTTCTTTGAACAGACATTTTTCGCAGTACTTAACCTCGGCGTGTATAACAATTTACCGTAATTGTAAGTTTATTCGCATACGACTTCTTTGTCATACGAAATCAAATCCCAGTTTCCATATAAGTAAGAAATGACCGTCATCAAAGAATACCCGTACGTACGAGTAAATACATAATTAAAAGCACAAGTTCAAGTTCGTTCCTCCGAAAGTAAAAACATAAGAACGTGCCAGCCCATATTAATTTCGTTGCACTCTCGATTTTTAGTTTTACATTACAACGGCTCTAAATTGAAATGTAATGTGATTCCTATTATATTCTACCCATACTTAACAGTAACTAGGCAAGTAATTGAGTGTACTCTTCACTCTAATCAAAATCTCGTTAAGTACACATTATTATGGTGTCGCTCTACCGAACCGGCCATACAAAATGTTAACGACCCATCGTATCTATTTTTATTAGGCGACAACTTGAAGTTCTTTGAGTTTATTTCTCAGGCGAGGTTTTTCTTTGATTATTTAATCGGCATCCCAACGTAAATTTACCTGAAGCCTATGACACCAATTCCCAGCCTGTGTGAAACTGCGCCTTTGTTACTTGATAACAATATTGCGTGTTTCGTTTCAGGAATAATGATAGATAACGTATGTAGAATGATTCACATACATGATGTAATTTTTTAAAACCGTTATCAATTCTACAATATTTTTCAGTATATAAACCAACGGGAATATAGATTGCTGAAGATGAGCCTGTTTCATCTAAAATATTTACAACTTAGTTATTCCAAATGGCTGTTCTGGCTGGTTGTACACAGTTTTAATTAAGTTTATATACTTTAGTCGAAAGAGTAAAGGCATGCATTCCGTCGTGAATTTGGAAACAACAATATTTTATTACTGGGCCAGATTAAAAAAAAAATTTGGAACGCCTTCAACATCTGCGAACATTTTTTTTTTCAAATAACTCAAAGTTTTTCTTAAATCATTCTAAAGATCTTACTTTTTTGTACACAACCGACAAAAATTGTTTCAGATTTAATTAAAAAAAAAAAAACTTTTTTGTCAAAGTTACGAAACTAAAATATGGTTACGGACTTTAGTCCGTTTTGCAAATGTAAATTAGGCGAAAGGATGCAAGACTGTTAGAATCGTTTTTTTTATATCTCAATTTTTACCACCGTGACGTCATACAACTTTTTTTCGAATAACAATGCAAAATTTTAATTAAATTATTATAAAGTTATTATCTTAGACTTTCTTTTTCTGTATACAGCCTACAAACATTATGCTAGGTTTTATTGTAAAAACAAACGGAGAAAAAATGTCAAAATTAAAAAACTAAACTATTTTTTTGGCAGTGTACACTAGGCATAAAGGATGTAAGACTGCCAAAAACGTTTTTGTAAATATCTGAGTTTTTAGCGCCGTGACGTCATACAACTTTTTTTCAAATAGCAACCCACAATTTTTTATTAAGTTATTTGAAAGAGATTATTTTGTTTAACCTACAAAAATTGAGTTTTCGAGTAGTTACCCATCCGAATATTAATCGAGAGCAACGTTGCGTGACTTCAGACAATAAATGAATTATTAGTATTAGCATTGACTGTCAATGGGATTAGTAATAATTTAATAAACACAAACAAAAGTACAAATGTGCCTGAATCGCGCTTTTTGCTTTGAACTAGAACGCCGTTCTGTCAAGAATTTTGCACCTGGTTTTATTTCCACATGGATAAAAAATGGGAATGTAACTTTGAATATATCGCAAAGTACAAGTTTGTTTATCTCTCTCATTTCAGATAATGTATGGTTTCTTATCAAATCTAATTAACTCTGGATACACCTCTATTATAATTAATGAATGACGCTTTTCTTGATGAAGTTGATCTTAGCAATATTCGTTGTCGAGTACTGGTACTGTAATCATCTCCTGATAAATGTCATTATCCAGATTTCATATCTATTGTAGTGTTTGATCAAGACTAGATTTTTCGTCTTGCAATGGTACTTCTGGATGCTTGTCTTGTATAGCAACACAAAAAGATATTGTCTTTCTTATCATGTCATTTTCTTTCACATACCAATTTTTACGTCAGTTAATTTAGCACCTCCATCAAATTTCGCTAAATACTTATTTCATTTGGCAGAGGATTGCTAACCCATCAGTAACGGTTTCTGTATTATTCTGTATTTAGTGATAAATAAACGAAAACGGATTCCCGGTGTTTCAAAACTCAAAACGTGCATTTCCGTCAAAAAAGTGAGTGGTCATTAACTCCAATGCAACACCTCCCTTACTAAAGTGTGGGGGTAAAAATCGCAACAGTGCACCAAACTAATTATAATTAAGTTCGCTCGAATGTCAGACCACTTATGTCAGTCACAAGGTTGGATTTTGTGCTCCATCTGTGATTATAGGTCCCTACCTGAGCGTGGTGTTAAACAACATTACACCAAAAAGCATACATCAACCACTAAATGAGAAGGTTCAGGGCCGGGGGTTCTCAACCTGATCCTATTGCTACTGTTGGCGTTTTCAATGGAAGCTAATTGTGCCTAAAAATGCCAAGGAATCATTCCGCGTTCTAATGATTTTAGTTATATTTCATAATTTTATGTAAATGTTTCTAGTAATAAAAACTCTTTTTTTTACAAATGCAAAATGGCGAGTGATTGGCCACTTCGAAAATTGTGATTTACATTAATTTGCAACATACATACATATACACTAAAACAATCGTTTGCATTGAATGATGGACACACTATGTATCTTTTAAATTCTGAAAAAATCTGTTGATGATTTAGTTTAGAACATGGCATAGAAGATTTATTTGGATTTGGAGATGATTACATGTAAAAATTTGGCAGAAATCGTCCTGCCAAATTTCTACATTTAGACTTCTAGAAATTCACATAAATCTTGTTTATCATACTGTAAACTATTTTCAGAATTTTTTTTCAGTTTTATACCTAAACACTTCAAAAATTAATACAACTGATCTTTTGGTCTGGATATAAAACCATTCTTAACATGTATTTCCACATGTAAAACTACACGTAGAGACTTAATCGTTTAAAAGGGAAAAGTGTAAACATAGAAGAAAAGCAGATATCCACTAATATAGGTAGAACTTAATCTTAAATTTTTTGATTTGGGGAAAAACCTCGGGAAAAACAAAAATAAAATAATAAATTTATTTCCACTTAAACAGGCTCCTGGTACTATCACATCAAATTATTAATCAACGTAGTGACCCAAGATGATCCTTGACGAATTACTACAGTGTAAATAATTAGTACTAGCCTACCAGAATTCTAATCTGTTTGCTTTATCTCCATATTTATTTTACTATTGTACTATGTGTACACGATTTACCTATTTAACTATGCAAATCAATTGTTTATCTTTTTTTTTGCTTCAAAAGTTCGTTCGCGCGTGTAGCATTTCTACGACTGCCAGAAAAGAGGCAATAAATCCTTATTCTTACACCAGCAAACTGCGCCTTTCGTATGAGTACATTGAAAAGGCTTCTAATCGGCTTCACATGGATTTCAAATTATCAGAGTTTTAAATGCATTACATCATCCACGAAGAAAATACATTTGATTAATTGATATCGTCAATATATCAATTAATCCAAAACACTGACTACCTTGGTAAAGATTTAATTTGTTATCTTGTTAGTAATTGTTTAACCTTTTAAGAATTAGGTTAATTATGTAATTAAACATTCAATCTATCCTTAAATGGACCAACGGATTATTTATCTACCGTAATGAAATAGTATTTGCATTTTTTTTCCACATACTGAATGTCAAACATAAAAAAATCCGTCAATGTTTGGCACGTGTACGCAAATCAAAGAGATACATTTCACATGTAGGTAGTACATATCAGTACAAATAAATCCTTTGTTTTGAATGACTAAACTTGTGTAATGAATAATTAGTTATCAGTGAACTTTGTACAATGTACTAACTCTCGCCTTTTTTTTCAGGTTCAAAAGTGATATTAAAGTCAGTGAGCGGGCATATTCGATCGGGGGAACTTACAGCTATCATGGGGCCGTCGGGAGCCGGAAAATCTACACTTTTAAATATTTTAACAGGATACAAGTACGTCGGTATAGATACCTACATTATACCTATGCATCATTTGCAATTGAAATACATACCTTTGTTCTTTTTTTAACGTTATCATTTCCCTTGCAATTCACATTTCTCTTTCATTATTAAAGCTTTTCCAAATCATTGATTACAAAATCAGTGTTCCGGGGTCATGGTTATCTACCTGAGAATCTATTCAGTAATACGTTACGGAACATTAATTTTTGAATACAAAAAGTGTTTTCTGAGGACATCTCGAGAAACATGTTGTTCGGTAGGTATTTGGCGGTGCATAATTCCGCTGCAGTGGGAATGGACCAACCGAAGTCTCATTGTTATGGATTTCGTGTCAAAACACAAAGCAGAGAGAATTGATGACCTTTTCGATAGTCCTTGAATTTGCGGATAAGCCGTATACCCTTATCCACATAATTATGATTGCGCAAAAAGTGTACCTACGCATCAAAAATATTTCTTAATTATACTATAACCTTAATGCTCGATGGCATATTTTGAGCGGTGGTAATAATTAGCGTAAAATTCAAATCAAATTGAAGCATTATTTTAATTATGTATCTAGGGATTTGTTGCTATCTATTTGGTTGGCGCACCTGTTAATAATATTTGGGTACGTCATACGGATTATGCTTTTTTGGTTTAGCCTAATTAATTACGTTTTGATTAAGTACTATGAGTCTTGTTTTTGATCTTTTTTACCATCTTAGCTCAGGATCATTAATTAAAATCCTTCATAGGTAACAAAAAGTTGTTATTTGAAATTAGTTATAAACAACTATGGAATATTTTATTGGCATAAACACTCAGAATTCCCCCCGATGGGTCAAAAAGGAAAAATGTTTAACTGTTGGTAATCATTGTTTTGTTCTAAATAGTTCCAAATAGTTATCTATCAATTTTGCAAACATTAATTACAAAAAATAAGTATACCCACCCGAACAAATCGCGTTGAGTTCAGCAAACAAAATATGTTTCAGGTTATGAAATAAATGAGAAAAAGATAATGGTAGTACTTACCAAGAACCATAAGATCTGTTTGGCCACACCATTCTTCATTCTTCATGTCGAGTCCTGCAACAAAATTGTCAACGTTAATGAAAGATCTGAATTGAAACTATTCTAAAAATACACACGCAACAAATTATCTCATAAAAGAGTGGAAAATTAAATATTTTATTTGTTTAAATAATAGTTATATTTCAAATTTGAGCGAAATATCTCAAAAACTGCAGAAGATATGAAGAAAACGTTAAAAAATCTTCAAATTTTAAGATCCTGTAAATCGGTCACGAAGCGTAGCCGACTCTATGTTTATATGAACTTTTAGTCATAAAAGACCTTTCAAAAGAGATATAACCAGTTCTCATTGAAACAATTGGGGGTTGTAACTGTCACTCGAAGGGGGTTGTAGGTAGGGATTACATTTTCACGTTGAAGTATTAATTTATAATTTAAATTTGACGTGTCAGGATTTTATATAAAAATATGTAGGTATAGTATCCGAAATAATAAATTTATTCCATTTGGGTTTTCCACACTGTATAATATGGATTAGATGAAAACTGTATTGGTCAGCTATATTGATCCGATTTCGATAGTGGAAGTTGATCCTTGTCTTCCGGCTGCCGATCAGCTTAGTGTGTGTGTATTTTTTAAACTAAAGATTCAGGAAAAACGTGGATTTCTCTTTCTGTGTCTCTACGTACCCTGGCTTTACCACACAAAGAGCTTTTTAATGAGAATCCATATTTTTCATATTTGGCCATTATAATTTTATTTTATTTACATTTTATACATCTAGGTACATAGTTATTAACCTTCAGTATATCCAGTAATTTGTTGCCTGTGATATCGCGTGATATATATCGTACAATTTTTGCGCTTGGGTGCATCCCATCATGGTTGAAAAGTAACAAGTAGCTGACACCGTTTGTAATTGGTGCATGTTTCCTGGCCTGACACAAAATCCATTGCTGCATACGAACGTAATCATTTTTGATCTACATTCTATTGACTATCGGTTTCGCTGTAATGATATGCCAAGTTTGTTCCAATCAGCCACTTTTTAAAAAACTTCCTGAACAGCAGTGCCATTTTAAACATATCTGACCCAACACAATCGTGGTTCACAAGAATGAGACTATATATTCAAATAACTGGAATAGAATTATTTCGTAACTTGTTACGTACAGCCACTGTACAACTTTTCGTCTGGTTTTGAAAAATAATCCCATCAAATAAATTCATTTTATAACTGTAAAGTAATTTGTACCACACACGTAATTAGGAAAAGCAAGATGTTCCGAAATGCCAATCAGTTTTGATTTTAGATATCAACCATTAGACCTGATCTATTTCGTCGTTAGCATTTATACCTGATTTTACTAGATTAGTTTATCCATTTATTATTTATGCTAAATTCACCAATTTTTTTCATTATCGACCAAGTATAATAAGTAATAACTTGAACATTTTACTTTGGTTTGATGGCAGGGCCGTGCCGTTCAATTACTTCTACAAACAATGAGGTTTGCTTTTGTGCACGTCGGGAATTAATTCTTTTGCAACGTAGCAGACGAAATTGAACTTGATGACCTCTGTGTCGTTAACATCAATTTCGGGATGTTTTCATTTCAATTTCCCGTCTAGTACTGCTATCTTAATTGCATTGCAGTTGTCATTACAAACAGTTACATCGGAATGCCTTTCTGAATGCAATGTCGTATATGCCAGAAATGCGACTTATTAAGAGTGAATTTGTAACAATTATTAAAAGGGGCGATATTTTCGGCAAATATCTCTTAATTAAAAACATCTCATATGCCTCTTTAGATATACGACAGCTAGATATTCTGTATATTTAGGTTGAACATATAAATACCGAATAGCCCCCCCCCCCCTATTTTCTTTGTTTAAATCAGCTGAGGCGATACAAATGTAAAGTGGTGTTCACATTTTGAGCTAAAATTACCCTTTCACAGAAAAAATGCCTGTATTCCTTTGATGCAACGCCTATACTTCGGGTTGGCCAACAGTGCAAATTTGTGCTTTCTTTTAGTCAACATGTTGGCTGTAGGCGCTTTTTTAAGTCGCTGATCATAAACCACCAACCATCATCGAATATTGACGTCCAGCAAGAAATTCTAAATATAACTTTTGTTTATCAGAACAACGGGATTACAAGGAAGCATCATGATGAACGGCAACGAAAGGGTACTAAGTCAATTCCGAAAGCTCTCCGCCTACATCATGCAAGATAATCAGCTTCACGCCAATTTAACTGTCGACGAAGCTATGTCAGTAGCTGCCAAATTAAAAATCGGTAGCAAAACTAGTAAAGAAAAGGAAGAAATTGTACGCGCGCTCCCAACCCTTAACTATCGTACTGATCGTTGTATTACAGATAAACGAAATTTTGGACACCCTCGGCCTGATTGATCATCGAAAAACTATGACGAGCAGGCTGTCCGGCGGCCAGAAGAAGCGCCTATCAATCGCCTTGGAGTTAGTTAGTAATCCACCCGTAATGTTCTTTGACGAACCGACCAGCGGCCTTGACAGTTCTTCGTGCTTTCAATGCATATCACTACTGAAGACTCTGGCGCGCGGCGGACGTACTATCATTTGCACAATTCATCAGCCTTCCGCTCGTCTTTTTGAAATGTTCGATCAGCTGTACACATTAGCCGAAGGTCAATGCGTCTACCAAGGATCGATTAAGCAACTCGTTCCGTTCTTGGCCAACTTGAACCTACAATGTCCCTCGTATCACAACCCCGCGTCATATATTATTGAAGTAGCGTGCGGAGAGTACGGCGATAACACCCAGAAGTTGGTTAACGCCATTGACAACGGTAGGAACGACATTCGCGACGGCAAACCATTCCCGCATATGAAAGATGAAATTCTCAACAACACCCTTCATAAACCGTCAGATGAAGATGCCACCATGACCAGCAACAATGTATTCTCTGGCGTAGGATTTGATAAGTTTGTCAAAGATTATTCAAAGACGCACTTCATAGATTACGACGGCAGTCTTCAAAGTGTTGTAAATAACATCTCCAAGGGAACTTCTGATGGTAAGAGTTAGCGCCTGTACGCCGATCCTAACAGTTTTTCCGTAGTGGTTACCGTGCCCGTCGACCAAGAAAAATTACCAAACGTCGATACGGCTCTTTTAGAACAAGATCTGGCAGTTCCGCAACCCCGGTACGGAAACTCAGAGCTACGTCAATTTTTCATCATTTTAAGTCGCGCTCTTTTGTTCAGTAGAAGAGATTGGGTAAGTTGGTCTTTTTGCCGCTCGAGCATTTTTAACGCCTACCGTACGTTATAGACCCTCATGTATCTGAGATTATTTGCACACATCCTGGTTGGAGTATTAATTGGAGGCCTATACTATGATATTGGAAACGACGGTGCCAAAGTTTTGAGTAATTTAGGATTTTTGTTTTTTAACATGCTGTTCCTTATGTACACGGCGATGACGATTACAATTTTATCGTTTCCTTTAGAAATGCCGGTTTTGCTAAAGGAAAACTTCAATAGATGGTACTCGTTACGAAGTTATTATTTAGCAATTACTATGTCGGACTTGCCATTTCAGGTACTGTAAACATCTTTGGTTTGTTTTAAATTTATGGTTTATTTTACAGACGATTTTCTGTATCTTCTATGTTGCAATAGTTTACTTCATGACTGGTCAACCAATGGAATTTCAGAGATTTGGAATGTTCTTATTGGCATGTTTATTGGTTGCTTTTGTTGCTCAAAGTGTAGGTTTGGTAGTAGGTGCTGCAATGAACGTTCAGGTAAATTTAGCGCAAATTTTTCCATGTAGGCATTAAACCAATCTTCGTTTCTAGAATGGAGTGTTTCTGGCGCCTGTGATGTCCGTACCTTTCTTATTGTTCTCCGGTTTCTTCGTATCGTTTGATGCTATTCCAATATATTTAAGGTGGATTACTTATTTATCATACATTCGATATGGTTTTGAAGGAACCGCGCTGGCGACATATTCATTTGATAGACCAAAACTGAAGTGTTCCATTAGTCATTGCCATTTCAAAATACCAACAACTACTTTAGAAGAATTAGACATGATCCATTCCGATTACAGAATAGATATTGCAGCTCTTTTAGTAATCTTCTTCGTACTGCGAATTGCAGCGTTCCTGTTCCTTCGATGGAAATTAAAAAGCAATCGGTAGAACAGTCTAAGTGTGATATAAGATTTGTGAAAATTGTTATAATTAATTTTAAGTTCATTAAATAATGATATATTAGGATATTAAAGTGATAATTTTATACTAATTGTATACAACAAGTTGAACCAACATTACGTTTATGTACCTTGAATTTTTAATCTTGAATTATAGGCAGATTCCTCACTCCCCAATTTAGCATATCTGCGTATAGTAGGCTGTGATTACTGATGCAATTAGTAATTAAATGCAAACTAGAATGTTCCATTTTATATGTGTCCCGTAATTTAAGATTTTACTTGCCTTATTCATGGTGAATTGTTATGACACTCGTGTATTTGTAGGTATATATTTTATATGTACAAATGGGAAATACAAATAAATGTTTTTTTTATACAACTTTCATTTTGTAGCAAATTCGGCTGGCTCTTCCCACATTTCCATATTGAATATTCATCCATGTCATAGTGCAGTCTAGACACGAATTTACATCGCTATCTTTGGTTGCAAAAGGTGTTTGCATCAAGCATGGATTAGTATTAAAGTTCATTTTTTCAAAATGGCGACCATTTAAAATTTAAATATTTAGCTATTTAGTGCTGAAGTATTTAAATGGCCACCATTTTGAAAAAAAAATGTACACTAAGAATTCACAACTTATTTTGTGGCACAATTGTAGATTTTACTCAAATAAATGGTCCCAGGGCCGTAGCCAGGTGGCGCTGCCACCTGCCCCCCTCCCTCCCTTGTAGAATCGTATTATACCAAATTATTTGTTTGATTAAACGTCGATTTCTCCGATAACTTACTTTACTTACATATTTTAAAAGTAGATTTTCCTCCGCGACTTCGTACGCGTGATATTGACGGTATGTGATAACGGAAACCCAGCGTACAGAATGTAAAAATGTAAACACATCTGCCGGGTACGACACAAATGGCTTGGCGCATTTATCAATAGGTACGTGAAATAGCAGAGTGCGACATCAACAAAAAATAAGTTAAAAAAAATCCTATAACCCGATCGGACCAAATTGTGAATTTAAACCACCCGGGGACACACCGAGACACATAACAAAAATGTCATCAAAATCCGTCTAGCCGTTTAGAATGAGTTCAATCACAAGCACAAGTACAGTAGAATTTTATATATAAAGATGGGGCACGCACTTTTTCAAGTGCAGTTTACAGTTCGAAAATCTCTTGACGATTACGTGTACAGTAAGTCTCAATTTGTCGCAGAGGGTTGTGTTTATTATATTTTATTATATTTGTAAACAAATATCACAGTAAAAAGGGCAAGTTTCCTCTAAGTCTAATGTAAATAGTGGCACCTTAATATTTCAAAATTAAACAGGCAAATATTTAAATGTCCGTCATTTTGGAAAAAAATGCAATCAGTGGGTATTTTTGTACGCTTTTCAACATGTTTGCCAAATCTGATTGAAATAACAAAGTTACAAATTTTTAAATGAAAAACATAAAGTTCAGCCGCCCTCTTGATTTCCTGGGTCGGGATTAATGGGGTTTTGAGTATGTTAAAATGGACACTTTTTACAATAAAATGCAAAAAGAATCATTTGGGTTGCAATTTTTCCAGGCCACGGGAATTTTTACACTATTTTCACTGTAGGTACCTATTACTATTGTCATTGTCATTCGTAAATATGAAATATGGCACTTATGACTCACCCAGATAAACCCTTCCTGCGAAAGTATATCTAATCTTATGCATGAAAGTTATCTGGATAAACACACATTATTGGCTGATTATGAATGTATGATGCTGCACTGACTACAATTAATGGAGAAGGTACCTAATTGGGGAAACTTTTTTCTACAGCGACTGTCACGAGAATTATTAAGCGACCACGATTTATCGACAGCTAGTAGAAATGCTATAGAAAAACAACCCCATTTTCTAATCGAAATGATATGGTCATAATGATACAAAAGACATTGGGTTTTTAAGTTATCGTACCATGCCACCGTTATTTCAGTGCATATCCGATGTAAACTAGAAACGTTGTATGAATTTAAGGTCAAGGAAGTACCTACTAAATATAACGTTCTCTAATTCATTCGTGCAGTAAGTGTATGAGTAGGTAGGTACTTCCATGAAGACAACTGAAGCATTACAATTGAAGGTTTCAGCATGCAAAGACCGTAAACGCATAAATACGAAGAGATGTTTGCAATAATTTTTATAAGCGCTTTATGCCTATGTGTAGGTATAAATGCGTTTGTGTATTAACAAATTTTTTTTGCCGCATCTTTATTTACAGCAAAAAACCACATTAAGCACTCAAACTCTCACGTAGGATACGATTACGAAAGTGAAATGAAAGTCTTAACATTAGAATCAAAATTATGTTTTTCTTATCCTTTCCTGTAAATAGTGCAATCATGTCTAGGTTCATTTAACGCTTCCTGTTTTTAAGTTACTTTTTTTACCAACGAAAACAAAGCGGAACAAAATGTATAGTATATTAAGTATGGAGAACGGTAAGGGATTTTTACCGTTCGAAGACAATTGTTTGGAGGAGGAGCGAAGCGACGACTCCAATTATTGTCTGAGAACGGTAACCCTTAACGTTCGACGTGCTTATAACATTTTTTGCGCGATCGAAATTAAAATTATGCAACCAATATAAATATGCACTAAGAAATTAACGAGCAGAATAAATCGAAATGATCGAAGTGGTATGGTGTCAATCTCTAGGTAACCAGTTTATTTGTCAAAATTGAAATTAATAATTTCATAAAAAGGTGCATGTGTCTGATGTAGTTTACTAGCTTTGTACTTCCTTTATGACTTTATGAGCGTCTTGCTATAGGAAACAACAGCACAAATTGTACGTTTAATGTACCTAACAATAATTAAAGATTAAATGTAATGTAAGACTGTTGATTTTTAAAAAGGCGTCGGTAAGTATTTTTGCTGTTCTGTTTTTAGATCGGTAAGTAATTTTGGCGTCGTCGTAATCATAGCAACTGGTAAATTCTACGTACTGTCATGGAAACACCCATGGTAAATAGTCAGAAATGACCGATCGCGCAAAAAATAATGAATTTTTGTTGATATAGTTCTAGAGAGCATACAAGGCGTCCAAAAGCTATACGTGGCTTAAGGGTTGAGTTGTGGCGTGTGCCGAAAGCGGAAGGGCAAACGCGGAAATTCTCATCATCCCTATATCCATTCAAAAATCCAAAGTTGATAGCAGGATCAGGATCCTCGCACACCAAAAACCGTTCCGCGCAATATTTTAAAATGCGTGGCTCCCATTGACAAATGGTCGATCAGCCTTTTTAGAACAAAAAAAGAAAAAAAAAGAAACTGTAGGTAATCCTCTGGCAAATCACTAACTGCGACCAACTATAAGTCATAGAATTTCACTTACGTTTCTACGCGTGAAAGAACAGCATCCTTCTCCTACGTGGTGCTTGAAATATTAAAAATTTAGTGACTAAATTATAGATTGGTATTAAAAAGCAAAACGAGACGCGAAAACGTTTCACTTGAAAGTCGTGAAAAGACACTTCTGCATTTTTTTTTCGGCAAACATAAACAACAGAAACCTGACTGATAACAGAAAGCAGAGATTTGCAAATGATTCCACCCTGAAATTTCCAACTCCTTCAAAGCCAGGACTCATGATATTTGTGTAAGTAATGGTAATCGTACAACTATATGGATGTCATAATAACTAATTCGTTTTCAAAGTAATGGAGTCCTTAAACTTTTAATTCAGCGACTCTACGACGGGACAGTCTCGTTGTTTCGTGTATTTGCTATAATTGTCCAAACAGTGGCGCAAACAGAAATGCTAGTCGAGGGGCTGCGTTATATGGACAACCGGTCAATTATGCTCAACGGAGGATGGGGTGGCAGAAACTCTACGCAGCAATAACATTAGTAGGTATTAATGAGGGGCGATCTCTGTGTTCTACTGGCGAATTTTTGAAATGAAATCTCCAGAGTATAAAAGTTACCTCCCGATCTAAAAACCGTCTAAGAAGTGGTAGATATCGGCAGATGCTAGTGATACCTAACCACCACAATTTTTAATTAATATAAACTGTAGAAGTTCATATATTGTCTTTACGTTACAAATCTCTATTAAAACTATTTCTGAACGAAATATTAAGTTTTTTTATTTATTAATATATTTTATTGAAATTTTAACCACATATACTTCTAGTAAAAGCAAACATATCTCATATATTAAAAATCAGTTGTGCGCACGCGTAGACTGCGCAAGGCCAAACTTTCTTATTTATGCAGATATTTCTTTGATATTTCAACCAATGATGTTTTTAGTAAACGCAAGCGTATCGCATATTGTGGTGCTCAAGTACGTTTCGGGTAACAATCCGCACCCTTGGTATATAATATGTATACTATTTCAGAACCAAAATAAAAATTGCAATTTTCAAACTTTGCGCTAAAGCAGTTACAACCATATACAAACGATGAAGAATCTTGTTCGGAATTCATCGATGAGATGGTCGTTTCTTCCTTATTAAGAGCATTCAATTCAGTTGCAGTCGGTTCAGTTGCCATTGATTTTCCAAAAACCGTCACCAAAAATTGTGACGACTGTGCTACATGCGATGCCATGATGCGACACACCACGAACCGTAACAGATGTTGCAGATGGCACTTCCTCCACACCAACTATCATCTTAATTTGTTACCTTATTTCTCTGCAACATGCTGTCAAGCAGATACCCTTTCGGAGCCGAAGAACTTTTTCAACCACCGTGTCTCTTTAATGTGGTAGTCTCAATCAGCACATTAAAGAGACACGGTGGCTGACCAACGTCGCGGATGTTTGCCTTCCACAATGGCCTGTATACGCCTTCGGATTATCTAAACCCAACCATTGAGCAACCTTACTCGGAATCTTTCCGGCTGAAGAGTAGTACACTTCCAATAAGCCACAAAAAACGCAACGCAGAAGATTCTCTCACCAAACGAGGAGCACTCAGGGCCTCTACATCAATCATTGTAAATTTCCTATTTACATCATTCTTCGGGTTGGAAACGTTGATCACGATCACCGACCCAGGATCTTCGATTTTTAGGAACGTATCCTTTATTTCCAGTTTTTTTTCCTTTAAGGTGGCGTTTACATTGAAAAATCGGAACTTTGTTTCCACAATAACTGCCTTCTGGGTACAAATTTTTGGTTTAAATAACATTCATTCAATTATATAATGTTCCAACATTTGCATGAAACAAAAATTATTTAGCTAATTCCTGCACTTTCGCCGTTATTTAGGAAATAAGTTGTTAAAAAACTCCCATATAAAATATATATCTTTCATTTTTATCACACACACACTGATAATAATTTGATATCAAATTTAACTTCATTCACAAGCTTAAACCCTTAGCAACCATCGGTCGTTAACAGAAGTTTATTTTTTTTACCTCGAAACAAAGTTATTGAGGTAATCGCAAGGCCATTTTTGCACTTTTTGTAAACGCCACATTAAAAGTGTAACATTAACATCGATAATTTTTGCTACAACGTGTTTTGGTGGATATTTATGCGGCTACGGATAGAATAAATGAGTTATACGTCAAAAATATATACACAGATTAAAAATAACAGTTCATCAATCAATTTTATTTATGACTAGACGCGACAATCAAAACCAGACGGCAGTTAAACCATGATATTTACAAACACGGTCCTTAGCAATGTTACTAATCCGATAAATTCAAACATTTACAACCCAATATTTTTGTATTTCCACAACAATATTGTACCACTCATAAAAAAACTGTTGGTTACTATGGATGCAACTAGCCAACCTCGGGAAATATACTATTCATATTTCCCTAGTTGTAATAATAGGTATATATTTCTAAATCTAAGGGCGACGATCATCGCGTGGGGGTTAACTTTTTAGAATCGTTTTACTTTTGCTAACAGAAGCATTTTAAGATTAAACATGTTACATAAAAAGTGCCCAGCGAAAAAACATACCTACAGTTTTATAATTATATCGCCGAAATTTCGAATCCCTTGATTTTACTTTGATCTATTTTTTTGCACAGAAAAGGTATAATTTTTCAAGTTAAAAATATTTATTTACTGAATTTTTATGGTTTCAGTTTTACTGTAAGATATTTCTAAGCGAACCGGGCCTCTTTTGGACCTCCGGGCCCGTGTTTCATGGATCAGCGCTGGATATGTCACTACCACCAGGCACCATAGTATAAAATGTAAACATTTTGGCTTGTAAAGAATCTTTATACTATTCTTGAGCCATCATTCCCATCAGTATCAAAAAATGCAGAAACTAACGGATCCCACAGGGCCAAAATAGTAAATCCGACTCTGAATAATTACTTCCGTCAATATAATCTTTTTTTATGAGTCACAGTCACGCTATTTTCAAACATCAACATTTTCCGCTGTATTCATAAAAAATTTTAATCTACATTTCGTCAAATGCATTATCAATTCGTTCTAATTTGTTAACTATTATTATTAAATAAACCGAAATTGGGACCTAATATGCAAATTCGAAGGACGGAAGATCGTATGCAGTCGTTTTATTATTTATGGATGTTTATAAAAAAACGATTCGCGAACGTGTTATTAACAACAGTAACGAACTTCCAACCTTAACATTGTCCTTTATCAACTAAAAAACTACAGTTTCGTGCGAAATTAAGGTAGGGAGTAAGGAAGGCGCTACTTATTTACGGTGACTGCTATAATGTTATAAAAAGGGGGGCGTTATTCATAACAGAGCTTCATTTACTACTGTCGGCATCTAACGTGTTTTATCTAGTGAACGCCGCCGATCTTTTCGCTATTTCGCTTTCTATCGCAGGCACTTGGAGTTAGAGCATTGTGCGAGACTTACATGTTTCAAAAGTGCGTTCGCAAAAATGGAAGACAGCGCCGGGCCGAAAAAGAGCACTCTTTCGCATTTGCCCCAGAGACCTCCCGTTGATCTTGAATTTCAGGATCTAACATACACGGTTCCGCAAGGGCGCAAAGGTTAGTAATAGTTTTCCCCGTTTTTTCCATTTTCTATTTAGAATTAATCGTGAAGCACGCAGGAAGTAACTTTGTGGGAAGTGGGTGGTTAGTAATCGGCGTCCCGTTTGGTACAACAGATTAAGTTTAATTACTTTACTGGGAGATGTAAATATTGACATTAACCCATTTTCTTTAAGCCTTACAGCTTTTATTTGGGTTCAACGAACGCAATTATTGTAAAGTCTATTATTAGCGAAGGTAAATAAATCGATAAAGCTCATTTCCATGTACATTTTCATTTCCCCGTAATATCAATATAAGTTATTTTAAATTAGGATTGTTGTACATCTACTTTTAAACTCATTAACAGGTTTTAAATGCATCTACTATAGTGATCTATTCAAATATGAATACAACACTTATGCAAATTATAATTAGGTAGTGGAAAGCGCAGCTTTTCAAGGTGCAAATCACCCTCTGTCCTCCAATAAATTTTAATGACACGTAAATTAGAAAATAATAGAGGACGCGTTACTCTGGACGTCCGTAATCATTGAAATTATGTTTGTGTATTTCATAATTTGTAATTGTAATTCACATACGAATGCATCCAACCATATGACACGTTCTACATGTCTTAAAGGTTTATTGATGGCCATTAGGTTATATGATCGTGTATTTTATGAAAGTAAATTACCTCATCGTGCTATTGAGATCCTCTATTGAATCAATCAATTTCGAGCGAGTAGTCGAATGAAGAAATGGGAAGAAAATGGGAAGTGGGTGGTTCCATTACTACAAATTAACAGGAGATATACTGTTATTTTTTTCTATACATATTCACAATGTAGACAACCATATTTAGTTTACAAACCTTTTGGTAAATAGATCTTCCATCATTTCCTTATACTTTTTCCGTTTCCAATGTGTGTCGAACCCTGCCTTTAAATCCATGAAAAACGCCTTTCCGCTCTTTTTTCAATTCATTTTCCACCCTTATGTGCAGTACATATAAATATCGTTCCCCTCCCTTTTCTGAGTCCCATTTATGTTTCTTCCAACTTCTCTCTACCATTTTTTTTCTTTCTAGTCTTTCATTCAATACCATTGCATATATTCTGTACGCCCTTGTCATTTTATCGTGATTCGTCTATAATTTTCCTCACTTCTTTTGTAAATCGGCACTATTACATCTTCCTTCCATTCATCAGGTAGTCCCCCTCCTTTCCATACCTATATTGCTTAATAGTTTCTTCATCTTTTCCTTAATACTGTCTGTGACGACAATCTAAAAGCTTCATTTCCTATTGCATCCCTCCCACGCCGCTTTCCTTTTCTTCAATCTGTTTAATTGCGGCTCAATCTCTTTTCTCTTGATATCTCGCCTCCTTTCACCTGTTCTCTTTCTACCTCTTATATCACCTCCTATGTCTTTTTCTTTCCTTGTAGTAACCTAATAAGGTGCTGCTTCCCTTCCAGTATTCTATTTCTATTTCTCTCCCACTTGTTCTGTTTTCCATTTTCCTCTGTTTATAGTGTTTATCATCTTCCAAATGTTCTTCTGTTTTTGTTTCGTTGATTTTTTCTTTCACTTTATCAATTTTGTTTCGTTACATTTTCTTTTGTACCTCGTTTTCTGTCTCTTAGCTCCTTGTTGTCAATGTCACCGTTTCTTTCTTTCTTGATCATTGTTCTGCATGTGTTCCTCTCTTCGGTACATTCTCTGTCCAGGTCAAAAACTGCTGTCTTTATAGCAGAATAATGAAAAAGTAATTTTCCTGGACTACCAGTTTAAGTTGTCAAAAATTGATAATAGACAAAGTTACAGATAATTTTAAGATGAACATTTTTTGTTTGAAACCTTTTTCGTTAAGTCTTACCGTTTTCAAACAGAATAGTACTGCAATAATGGCAGCCATTTTGAATGACGTCATACTGGGAGTGCCTGAGGGGTAGCGAATGCCCACCTAAGTTTTTTTTGCTTCCTATACACCCAAGTAACTAACCCATAAAGACTTTTCTCTATACGCATATCATATTTGCACACAGAAGTGTTATGGGCTGCTGGACTAGGTTACCAATAAAAAAATCCCTTTCGGCTCGGCCGATCAGGTGTAAGTAAATTTCTTTCCGCCATTTTGTTGCAGTGGCAGAATTGGCTGATTCACGAACTTGACAGGGTTATTTATGAGGTACGCTAACCCTTAAAATTTGGTCGAAATCGGTTCATAATTACAAAAGTTAGAGTGTTTCTTGGACGTGTATTTATATAAACCTGTAAATATACTGGTACCATTAGAATAGGTACCTATAGATAGATAGAAATCTATCTAATATAGTCGATTCGATATTGATCGCGCTTGCCTTGTTCAACATATTTTAGGTTGTACGATTTTGGTGGAGACAATGTGTTTTTGAAATGCTCGGACGTTTTCCCTTTTCTTAAAATTATGGTATACGGTTGTCAGTAGCAAAAAAGCAACAACCGTTTTTTATTGAACGTGAAATATAAATTTTATTATCCAGCAATTTGTGAAGAATTAATGTCTGACTATTTGTGACTCGTGAGATTGACGTCATAAAACATCATTCAACACACTCGTAATGGGCGATGATGTGCCTTGAATTTAGTTAAAAAAACGAGGTCAGTATCAGGTTTGAGACCACTATTGTATTCTAAATTCTCTACATGAAAGTTCACACTATAATTGCACATGTTTGTGTTCAAGATTGGTACACCGTCATAGATCGGCCATGCTCTCAATGTAAAATTAGAAATAAACGAGCAAATAATTGCTTATAATTTTAATGACATACTGTTCTAGTTGTTAACGTACCTACGTAATCAATACTTAGATGTAAGTTTTGTTTGTCCGCAACGAATTTGCAATATTATCCACAGTTTCTTCTCCAAAATGGCGACGAAGACAAGAAGTGAGCAGATATCTTTTTGGCGTTTTTTCGATAAATTGAGACTGTATCTAGACTCAAATAAAAAAAGATTTTGCACATAGTAATAAAATTATTCTCATGAGTTTCGCATAATTCCTAAATTGTAACCATGAGGGAAAAATCTCAATATTTAGTTCCCGTGTAATATTTGTTCAAAATTTGGAAATCATAAGCGACTTGCTAGTTGCTCTCTATCCAATAAGCAATAAAATCAAAAGCGCATTTTCATTTTTGGAAAGAGTCGGCTTACTTGGACTATTATAGATTTATGATTGTTGTAAATTTTGATTTAGCCACATATTTTAAATGTAAAGTAATGAAGCCGAAGTGTGCATCAGAAAAATTGCTATAATTAATCAATTTGCTCACACATAAGCTAACGTAATAAGATAATAAGTATATGCAGTTTATCTAATTAGACACTAATTTATTGTAAACGTTTCCGCATAATTACAATTACACTCAATTCAAATCTTGCAGAATAATCTCCTCTCATGACCCTGGAAATTCCCTGATGTGATTTGTTACATTCCAGAACTTGCAATTTGTGCATCTTTACGTCATCAATAACATATCGTCTGATAATAACACATTAATGGCCAGAATTCTTGAACATTTTGCAGGGTTTTTACCTGTTGAGTCCACGAGCATTACGCGCGTTTTCGAAATGATTCTATTTTCTACTCGCGGTCAAATGTAATACTTACACAGTTTTGGTTTAGCCTATACAACATTTCAAGAGTCTAACTTCCAAAAATTCAAAATGAAAATAGGGTAAATAAATTAGAAATCTTTCGCCAAAATCAATTCAAAGCGCACGAGATTCGATGAAGAAAATTGCTATAATTTAAAAATCCGATAGGTACAACCCAATTCCGATAACGATGCTCGAGATCTTCACGACCACGCATCCAATCACTACATCTACTACGTAGCTGAAAAACAATAGGTACATTTCTTATATCCTTAAAATCATGTGTACCAATTTTTAAAGTGATCGGACGTTTGTAAGCAAAATTCTCGTACAGACAGAACGGGCAGATAGCAATACAAAATTATAAGCAATCGCGAATAAACTGCCACACGCTGTGGCGTCGTATGCCGTAAAATATGCATGATTATTACATGTTTGTTCTCACATGACGCAAGCAACTTTTTACATTGGATGTAATCGAGGATGTAATCCTTAATTAGCCAGGTACAAAGTTGATTGGCCATAATTGCCGAACGTCCTGTAATAAGTTATTAAAAAATTTCACACCTAATTAAGAACGGAATAATTAACGAAACAAGCGACGTTATAGAGGAAAACACTAGTGTTGTTCCCTTCATAGGTACATATGTAAATAAGGAACTAATATTGCGCAACACATTTTTGGGCGGCAAGATAGAATACGAATCGTGTCATGGAATCAAACAATTCCTTTTGGTATTTTCCCTACCAAATTGATGAATAAATGTAACGATTTCTTTCCCTTTTGGATACTCGATAGGACGTCTTATTATTATTAGGGAATGAACTATTAATTTAGTCCATTAAAATTTAAAAGTGAACAAAGTAAAAGAAAATATAGAACTACTATAAGTCTGTAAAAAACGCCGCAAACATTTTTTTCTACGAAAGTGATGAAAGTCTTGTTTTCTGAGAAAAAAGTAGCCTTTGAAAGTAGGGTTTTGTCGCTCTAGTGTGGAAAAATTTTTCCACACTTATTTTCCACACTCTTAAGTAAAAACAAAGATACCTTTTTTTTATTTTAATGCCACAATTTACAATTACAGCTACTTCTGGCTAGTAATATTTAAATTAATGGTAAATGATGAACAGTTACTTATATTAACACCTGGAAGTAACGAATTTGACACAGAGCATTTAGAAGTTATTAATGTAGATGTGGACGCTGTCGAAGATGTGCAACTTGCAAGGATCATCTGGTTGACATGTCGAAGGTGTGCAAGGATCATTTGATTGACAAGCATTACCAATTATTTTGTTACATACTTCTAATTTGCCTTGAAGAGAACCATCTATACGTATCCTTCCGCTACCGTCGACGACCGCCAGCCCCCATGATGTTTAAGACTCAAAAGGTCTGCTCCAGCATTAGCAAGTAGCGTTGCGGAGGTACGCCGAAAACAATGACCCGTAAAACTAGAAGCATTTGGCAATTTCAGGTAACTCGCAATTTTCTTAGGAATTGCTCCAAATGTATTAATACCCACAGGTTGTACGGTACATTTTCCCATTTTATAATTTAAAAAAAGTCGCGAAGTTTGAGCATTTTGAGGACGAAGCGCTTTATATTTCTGGTACAAGTGTATCCAATTCTCTTTTCCCTCCGTAACAGAAAAAGTTCTTGGAACATGCGTTTTGGAGTCTGGAATCGTTACGAGTAAAAACGTATCTTCGCCTTGGATATCGTTCACCGTCATTTTCGTCAACTCCTCTCGACGACAAGCCCCAGAAACTCCTAATATTAGAGCAACCTACAAATAAATTTCATTATTTGTGTGACATATAACAAATGTATAGACATGAAAAAATAGTAGGTAAGTATAGGTGCTTACTTTCATCATTAAAAATGTTTCATCGGGTGCTTCCTCTAAAAACGTACTGATTTGTTGCCTCGTAAAAGTCAGCGATTTTTTCGGCTTGTGACCAACAGATTTACGTTTCAAAAACGATTGTAACTTGGCATACTTGGAAATGTCGACGTTGTCTTGCAAAATCAACATACTTTTCAACATGGAATACATTGACCACAGTGTCGATGATTTCAATTTTCCAGATTTTTCGACAAAATAGGCAAGCAACACGGTTTCTGTATACCGCTTGACTTGTTTCATTTTACACCAATTAAAAAACCTCTCTCGTTCTTTTTCGTACCGATTTCTCGATTTTTCAGGCAGAAGCTCAGGCATAATTGATTCCGCCATTGCAGCAACCTCTGGCGGAGTGCACATAAATTCATCGCCGCTCTCACATTCTTCATGAACACTCATTTTCAGCTTTTAAATTCTTGTTTTACTGAAGAAATTGCTTCGTACAAAACTACATGCAAAATTACTAACCGGCTTTTTTATAAACAACTCGTTGGTAACTAAGACAACGTAGCGGCGTCACGAAGACTTGATTTTATATTTTTACAGATAAACACGAGAATCGTAGTACGACTTGATTTATACAGAAATTGTTGTTTTAACATTTTGATATAAAATTTTTCTCTAAATCTTTAAATTCGAGAACTTTCGTAGAAAAAATAGTATGTAATACACTTGCGGAAAGGATTATTGAAAAACTTGTATGATTGGAGCACTCGCTAACGCTCGTGCTCCAACTTTCATACGCGTTTTTCAATAAAGCCCTTTCCGCACTTGTATTACAATATACTATTTTGCTTTTAATTCAAAACAAAAAAATGATATCGTTCGTGGAATGAATTTGCTGTAAACCATCATCAAAGTTAAGATTTTCAAAACATCACCTGGTACATATAATATTGTAGCCAGACGTCCATGCCCCTGCGTCATGGGTTTGTGAAAGAATTTCGTACAAGTTTTCTATAGAAGTGTGAGAAACACTTGCTAATCACGAATTAATGACCCATAGACAGAGATCTTAATTATACGAATTCTGAAATTGTTCAGATTGTCTCGGTTATTTATTTCAAACAGTAATTTATTTATGAAGAGTATAAATGCTAAAAAATGTTAACAATGCTCAAATAATCCAAAAACAGCTCAGTTTGGATACGGTGACGTGATGAATCTAATTTAACCTGTTTTTTTTTCATTTTTGGGTGGATAAAAAATTCTCATAAAAACAAAATTATTCTGTTTTAAATAGTAAAGTATGGTCTACAACTGAAAACATTTTAATCGAGACAAACTCTTTGAACAACTGTTATACAGGGTGACAATTTGAAAACTTACCACCCCCCATATCTTAGTAAATAAACGAGATATTTAAAAAAATCAAAATCCGTTTCGGTAATTCGGAGGGGGAATCACAATGACATAGTTGGCGACGCACCCCCTCCAACCCCCTGCGCCCCAGCCACCCCAACTTTTAAATCTTAAATAGTGACCCCCCATGTGTGATACGTCGTTGGAAAGCTCTGAAAAAATGCTTTCCAACCATACCAAATAGCATTAAATTTAGGTTAGTAATTATCGTGCAAATCAAAAAATAAACTAATATGATACATTTGAAATCTGTCGTATTTAAAACGCAACCGGCGAACATAGACGAACTTAAGACAGAGAATAATTCAAGAATGTCGAAATATTGCAAAACCAATATTTGAAAAGGTTCGACAAGAGTTTGAGAATAGATTATAACTGGCGATCAAAAATGAGTTGCTGTCGAGTCGGCTTTGGAAGTTCAAGTTAAATACGATTTTCCATGTAAACAAAAATTTCAAAGGGCGACTCCACAGCTACTCATTTTTGATCGCATAGTAATACTGTCTTACCAATAACGGAAAACATTTTGAACATTTATGGAAATAAAAGCCAACTTTAGAAAATGTATCATATTAGTTTATTTTTTGATTTGCACAATAATTACTAAACTAAATGTAATGCTATTTGGTATGGTTGGAAAGCATTTTTTCAGAGCTTTCCAACGACGTATCACACATGGGGGGTCACTATTTAAGATTTAAAAGTTGGGGTGGCTGGGGCGCAGGGGGTTGGAGGGGGTGCGTCGCCAACTATGTCATTGTGATTCCCCCTCCGAATTACCGAAACGGATTTTGATTTTTTTAAATATCTCGTTTATTTACTAAGATATGGGGGGTGGTAAGTTTTCAAATTGTCACCCTGTATATGACTCTTTCAGAAGTATATTCGTATAGATTTTCTATCTAACACTTGGACTCATTAGCACAACCGGAAGTCGTATAAAAACGCTGAAGCAGTGAAATGGGCGAATTTGTGGCCACCATATACATATGAACTTTAATGTGTCGTCGTAAAAACCTCCAATTTTTAACACACTTTTTTGTCTATGGCTTATTTAATATATGTATAGATTTTTTTAAAATCTGCAACTATCGCCCTGTCTGCCGCCACTTTCGCCATAGACAAATGGAATGCCAATAAGTTTCGTGTTTCTTAAGGAGAATAGAACTATTTTCATAATTATCAGCATTGCAACTGTTTTATTAAAATTTGACATTATGTGAGCTCCCCTTCCAGTCTTAAGCCAGGGAGTCTAATTGACAGACTTGACGATTTCTACTTGGATATATGTGTCAGGATCCTTTACACAAGAAATCAGCCATCTAACGATAACTAACATTCTTCTGTAACCAGCTCTCCGTGTATTGTCACTTGTTGTTTGTAAACCGTCACTTTTCGCCGTGAACAGAATAATAATCTAACATTGCCAAAAAAAGTATAGGTTGGCATTTAAAATTTTTGAGATAACATCACATTCTGAAACTACGACCTCAGAAAAAAATTGAAAACCGTCAGATTCTGACAAATATTTTTTTTCATTCAACTTTCATTAACAACTGTTTTTGATATGACCAATAGTAACGGCTCCAACATCAATGTTCCTTACTTTTTATTCGCCATGTATGTTGCAAATTGATTCAAATAGTATAAACTGCAATTAATTAAAAAAAATGTTCCAAAACCCACTCGTGGGTATTGCCGCGTAACACAAAGTATTGAAACGATGCATCATCATCAAAAGCACACAAAATGTCGAATCTGCATATTGAAGCACGTCCACGTCCAGAGAAAGAGAGGAGTTATAAGTTATAAAGTTTCAAAGAAATATTACCATACATAAGAAAGTTGGCTATGAGCAGCCTGTGCAGTCACTGCGTATGCCCACATAATTTTTACTATGTGCGAAATGTTTGCCTAAAGGCAAACTAGAAGCGCCTGTGGTTAAAATTTCAAAGAAATATCTCCATAAATAAGAAAGTTAGCATTGCGCAGTCACTGCGCATGCCCACATAATTTTTACTATGCGCGAAATATTTATCTTTACTAGAAGCGCCTGTGGTTAAAATTTCAAAGAAATATCTCCATAAATAAGAAATTTGGCATTGCGCAGTATGCCCACACATCACTGCGCATGCCCACACATTATTTTTACTATGTGCGAAATGGTTGCATTTACTAGAAGCGTCTGTGGTTAAAATTTCAAAGAAATGTCCCCATAAATATGAAAGTTGGCATTGCACAGTCTGCGCATAATATGGAGTTAAATGAAACTGATCGAAATGGGCAAATATAGACCATAACAGCTATCAATTAGCGAAAACCCGAAGTCTCTAGGTGACCCAGGGGCCGAGATTTCGATGGAACGGACGGACGGACGGAAACACGAGCACATAAGCTTTACCTCAACTTCGTTGTGTTACGCTAAAAACTAATATAATTGAATGTAACAGGATGTAGAGGAAAACAGATACAAAAGTCATATCTACACAAAAGGAAAAGAATTCAATTGAATAGAAATTCCGAAGCTATCCAGCCTATAATTTCGGATCACTCAATCTTCATGAATGAAGTATTAAATAATGTAGCCCAAGGGCCAAGGTGCTTTGCGTGTCTGTCTGAAAGCATTTATTTTCTTTCAATTTTGCAATAACGTGATACTCTAATAGTGAATATCGGTTCGGACATCATAGAAAACCACGTCCCTATGCACTTTCACCTATTTGAGATTGGAAAGCTCTATCTGTGTAAGTGTAGAAACAGGACACAAGCACCCTGTGTTCAGCATAAGTTGGATCGAATTGCAAAATGCTAAAGAATCCTAAAACGGAGTGTGTATAAATTCGCAAATGGAACGAAATTTATGCATAAAACCTTTCTTAGCGCAACGAATGCTGGAAAACTCAATCAAGGATAGTAGGATAGATAGTAGGGAAGTGTGTAAAATAATACCAGTTGGGCGAACTACTAGAGAACACTCAACGGACCCGAAATTAAGGTGGATCGTACGCGACTTTGCCTCGCCAATTTCAAAAATTTGATTTTCCAACGATGAAACTCTACGGTCGCCTCGAACTTTGTTAAATCCCTCTCTTTACCCATCTGATTTCTTTAATGTCAAAAAAGAGGCATATGGGCCAACAAAAACACACGGAAAACCTGCACTTAACATTTTAAAACAACTTGGAAAGTACTCCATGCATCGAGTTACTTTTAAGCGCGTTTCTGTGCGACGGATCGAGGTTAATTATAAAGGAGACTTTTTGTGCTAAAATACAATATGCATGCAAAGAATTGTGACAGAAAGCTATAATGCTTCAAAGCATTCTACGATGATTCCTTCGAGAGTTGTACGTAAATAGTATATTGAAAGACAAGTGTTACAATGCGACCTATTGTAATACGACTATCTTGTGGCACGAGTGGCGTAGCGAAGCGAAGCCACGAGTGTCCACAAGATAGGAGTATTACAATAAAGCATTGTAACACGTGTTTTTCATACTATTTTTTCTATTTCGGGGCTTTAATTTAATTAAAAAGTAATTATGAAAAACTATAGGAAACTTTAGAATTAATATGTCTTAAGTTGGCAACACCATTTACGTTGACAAATTTTAAGTTGGCAGCGTAGATAAACACAACACTGACATTTGGAAACTTTAAATTCCGTGAATGTGTAATTTTTTATTCGTAGATAAATTTATTTATGGTGGATGTGTAAACTGCTGATTTGGAATGTATTAAGTTCTTCGTGTACCAAAAATCAAGGAAAACACATAAATTTTACGTAATTTGATTTCACATGCATCTCATGATTTGACGTTGACGTCTTTAGAGATGAAAAGTTACCAAAAACAATGTTACAATGGAACTCATTGAAACACTGTTTTTGCCGAAAACAGTTGCACAAAATTCTCATTGTAAC